GATTGCACGAACAATTGCAATGCTAATAAGAGCGGAGAGCTAAGATATTTGAAATCATTTGGGCAAGTAGCTGCCTTTGTTACGTAAATTAATTGCTTGGTTTATGAGCTGTAAGAAAACGTATTGAGTTTCAGAATGCAACACGAAAAGTCACGAAAAATCCCCAAAAGCGACGATCAAAATTTCAAAAGGTACAAAGGTACGAAAAAAATGTTCCTTAAATACCGAAAAAACCCAAAAAAATCGTAAAAATCGGATAAATCCAGAAGAAAACCTATTGAAACCCAGACGGATATTCCAAAAAAACAAAGATTGGAAAAGGTCTCGAAAATACCTACAAAATTCCTGTGAATAATCTCGAGCGATCCCAAAAACGTTCTAAAAAATCGCGAAAGGTGAGCAAAATATTTTGAAAAATATCGACAAGGTCCGAATAAATTCTGAAATCGGTTAGATCCGGAAAAGTCCTATATAAATCCAGACACATCCTGAAAACATCTGAGAGACTGAAAAAACATCTCGAAGGTTTCCGAAATTATCCTGAAAATTCCCGAAGATAAAAAAAAATTCCGAAAAACCCTGACAGGTTCCGAAAAAATACCGAAATCGGATGCATCCTGAAAAGTTCCATAGATATACCGACCGATCCCGAAAACATTCCAAAAACTTCCGAGGAGTTCTGGAAAGGTACAAGAAAAATCCAGAAAATTTCCGTAAAAATCTCGAACAACCCCAAAAATTTTCCAAAAAATCCCAAAAGAGTTTGATATATCCATAACAGTCCCACGGAAATCTCGAGAAGATAAAAAAAAACGCGCAAAGGTTCCCGAAATTATCCTGTAAATTCCCGTAAATGCCGAAAGGCAAAACAAAATCCGAAAAAACCCGAGCTATTCCGAAAATAATTTAAACACTTTTGAGATTAGAAAAAATCTCGAGTACACGAAAAATCCAGAAAATTGTTGTTTAAACCCCGAATGATCGCAAAAAAAACACCCGAAAAGTAGGAGAAAATTCCGACAAAAGCCGAAAAAACCACGAAATCGGAAAAGTCCCACAGAAACCGACCCAAAAGCATTCGGAAAATACCGGAAGGTAAAAAAAATCCGAAAAATTGCAACACGCCCCAAAAAATCACGAAATCGAATAAATAAAGAAAAGTTTCATAAAAATCCCGCCCAGCCCCGAAAAAAGTTGAAATGATCATACAATTAAAATTTAGAGAAAAATTAAGAAAAAAAACGGAATTAGTTAAAAAAGATAAATAACAGATAACAAATAAAAAAAAAATGAAATGGAATTAAATGGGATAGGAAAGCATGATAATATTGTCGGAATGGAACGAAATATGAATTGGAAAATCGATTATGAAGACAACAAAATCAAATACCTTTCATTATTTTTAGCAAGGCAAAAGAAACATAACACATCCGAAAAATAAACATAGTTATACCTACTAAGTATTCCTAGTTTACTTGTCTGTTGAGGAAAGATTAAATTATTTATGAAACTAATTTTTTTTTTTGCCACATTGAGCTGCTACTGCCCCTACTCGCCCAAAATCTAAATTTATACATTATTTATGTAGCCAAGCAAACAGTGTAGTGGTTTTACCTACATACATATGTATATAAGGGTGGTCCAAAAATGAATGTGGGGAAAAAGTCAAGTCGCAAATTTTTATGCTCTCACCCACTAGGAACGGAATTTTAATGCTATCACCTCCTAGGATTGTTCTAGATCGAAAAATATTGATTTTCAAGAATTATATATAAAATACATGGAAAACTTTGAGCGCTTTGAGCGGCCTGTAAATATTTTTTGATTTCAATATAAAAAAGGGTATATTTTTTCCGATATAGAACAATCCTAGCGGGAGAGAGCATTAAAATTCCGACTTTACTTTTTCACATGCATTTTTGGAACACCCTAATGATGTATCTATATGCATGCATGTGGCTTAAGGACCAGCCGCCACACACTTGAGTGCAACTCATTTGTGTGGTTAAGTGCAAAATGTGTATATTAAAAATTCTTGACGAAAAACATGCCAACGGCAATACAACAATATACAAATACATAAACAACTCTATGTCGCTATATAAACACATAAATATATAAAGGGTAACAAACTTGCAATGGGTTTAATTATACCCGAGCGCACTTGTGCACAAGGGTATATTAATTTTGTTCACATAACGGTTGTTTGTAACAGCCAAAACGAATCGAGATAGATATAGNTGCTTGAAACTTCAATATTTCGAAATTGAAGGACGCTAATTTACTCAAAATTGATACACCCCGGCTTACCATCTTGCGGAAGGTTTCGGAAAGGTGAAAAAACATATATTTAATACTTGCGCCGGGTATTTCATGTTCGGCTCCGCCCGAACTTAGACTTTCTTACTTGTTTTTATTTAATTTTTTTTTTTTTGCATATGCCAACATATGAATTGAATTGTATATTGTACATGTGAATAGGCCTGAAGCACTCTAAAAGCACTAGCACATAGTACACATATAGTACATATTTATACGCATTTATCTTCATAATGCATTCAATGCTATGCAAGTAGTCGTCTCTCTTCCATTATTTACATTAAAACTTTTAAATGCATGCATGTAATTGCATTTATGAATTATTATTATGTATTTTCCCTACCATTTATTCAAATTTTCATTATGATTAAAATGCTAAACACTTTAGGCCGCAGTGGTTGGATGATGAGCGCTGAGCGCTGAGTAGTGGCATGCAGATGACTGTGGATGGAAAAGTCGACAAGCCTCAAAAACTGAATTTAGCACAAGTTAGTGCTTTGAGCATTGGGCGGGCACCATTATTGTTGTTGTTGTTGTTGTTATGTTGCAAATGAAGTGGTTTAAGCATCTATGTGTGTATGTGTGCGTGTCAGTGTGTGTGTACTCAAGGCTCTTTCGAACGCGTGTAAGTCTGAAGTAATTTGCGCTTACTATAGTAATATGTGGGTATATATTTCGAAGAAGAAAATGTCATTAAAATCATATCAATATGAGAATGCTTTTTTAGAACTCATTTCACTTAAATAAACTTGGTTGCTACTTGAAAAATGAGCACAAGGCACTTCACTGAAATCCGCACAAAGTGATATAAATACACATGTTTGAGGATTTTGCTTTTGGTAGTCATTGCGCAACATTTTCAAAACTTATAAATAAAACAAAAAATGGGAAAGTAAAGTTTATAAAAGTTTTTTAAATATCTACATACTCGAATAGAATATTGGGACTTAATTTGAGAAGTTTTAAAATTTTCCTTGTATTCAATTTTTTCGTTTTAAATCAATATTTTTTAAATAATTTTTTTATTTATTTTATTCACATTTTTCATCTTGTCTTAATTATTTTTTCTTTTTACTGAATTTATTTATCTTGTTTTCATTTCATTTTATGTTGTTTCTCTTCATTTCGTGTCGCTTTTATTTGATTTCAGTTTAGTTTCCTTTCATTTATTTTGTCCTTTTTTATTCGAAGAAATAAAATTATTTTTTGACTTCAAAAAATTTTGGAACATATACATATGCACATATGGACATATATGTACATACATACAGTGCCGGACAAAAGTATTGGCACAGAGAATTTTTCGCAATATGTGCAAAGTTTTTTATTCTAATTTATTTTCAATATATTTTAATAAAAATATAGTTCGTACTTCACCAAAAAACATAAAAACAAAATCTCTAAACTTTGTGCAAAACTCAGGAAAATTCAATAAATTTGCATACTAATTTGCAACTTCTTATTCAGATTTTTTAGAGAAATTCTAAGTATGTAGTTTTATAGCCCAACTAATTTTAGTATAACAAAGTGCAAGTTTGAAGTATCTAAAAAATTGCGTTGATTTGTGGACATTTTTTTAGTAGAAGGTGTTGCTCATTTTCTCCATACCAAAAATAGTTGTCGAACATACTTTGTACGGAAGAACCTGACTGAAAAAAAATTGCCAAAAATCAATGCGATTTTTTAGCACCTTCAAGCTTGCACTTTGTTATACCAAAATTAGTTGAGCTATAAAACTGCATACTTGGAATTTTTCTAAAAAATCTGAATAGAAAGTTGCAAATAAGCATGCAAATTTATTGAATTTTCCTGAGTTTTGCACAAAATTTAGAGATTTAGTTTTTATGTTTTTTGGTGTAGGACGAACTATATATTTATAAAAAATTATCGAAATTAAATTGGAATAAAAAACTGTTCAGATATTGCGAAAAATTCTCTGTGCCAATACTTTTGTCCGGCACTGTACATACATAGCGCACATTTGCGCTAAAATTAGATTTTGGAAAAAAAACAAAATTGAAAAAATATCTTTCGAAAAATATGTTCAGAAACAATGAATTTAAAAAACTTACTTTTTAAAAGTATTAGATTCAAAAGCAAAATTAAGTTTGGGCAAAAAAAAAAATAAAAAATTTGTTTCGGAAAAAATTATTTTGAAAAAAATAGAAAGACAAAATTTCTAATTCTTCTTTTCTAATTTTTATAAATTTTATTCTGTGAGAATATTTATTTATATTGTTTGTACCTTATTAACTTAATTTTAATTATTCGTTTTTGAATATCTCTCTTCCATCCGGCGTGCATGTTTTCGAAACAAATCCTTCTCTTGACCGGAAGGTTACCAGCGCCATCTTGTGGCTACTAATTTATTCGTTCTTAAAGAAATTTCAACTATTTCCCTTTAACCATGCCTTCAAGCATCGCTACCTTATCTTATGAACACCATCAACACATTCCCAATTCGTACGACTTAAACCCCATCAATTTAAATGATAATTTTTATAATTATTCAAGCGACTTATTAAATATTAAACTCGCATTGCGTTTCAGTGAAAATACATTCTTCAATCCCACTTTATTCCGCTCACTGCTCACCAATTCATGCCCTTATGGTGAATGGGCGTCACGTGCTAGCCTGTGTTATTGAACCATAATTGCTCCACACTGGCCATAATTGACAGGTCATAACATTGCTGTCAGCTGCAGTCAACCAACTGAGATGCGAGGGCGCCAGCGTAGTCAAGCAACAGCAGCAATTGCCGCTTCAGTTGCGTTATTCACCGCTATGGCACCGCTTTATGAGCGTTGAATGCCTGCAAAAGCCTTTATTTCATTTCATTTCATTTATTAATGCTGCACATTTTCAGCCATCGCCATCGCCAGTAAACTTGTAATTCATAACTGATCGACCAGGACGCTGGAGAATATGCATTGAAATTTCCGCGCTTATTATTGCGCATTTTTTTGCTCATTTTCTGTGTTTTTTTTTTAATTTCCTGTTCGTCCACGAATTATTGCATTTAAAATGCTCATTATGTAAGGTAAAGCGACATAAATTACCACGAAATTGTTATTATCATAACCGGGCAGAACATTATGCAGTTGCATCAACAGTTGGACAGCCGGTCATGAGTTTAGTCGATCAGCGAGTGAATGACGGCGAAGAGCGGTGATGAGCAGCGGCTGTGAGATTATTACTATTTATTGCATAAAATTACAGATTTAATAACAACGTACGACTTCAGTCATTTGGTCTTTGAAGCCTCTTTTGATGGGAAGCCTAGTGGTAGGACAGGGCGTATGAGTAATATTCACTTACAGGCGACATGAGCTCCATATGTAAGCAACTATACGAATGTGCATACATAAGTATGCAACTGTGGTCAAATGATGGATGCAATTTTGGCATATTTATATTTCTGTTTAACGCGATGAGTGCAGAACATGCCCCTAGGCTACGGTTTCAGATTCAGAGCGAATCTTATTCGTACGAATTCGTGCTTGCAATGTATCTGCGTACTTTTGTTAAGTGGCTTACCAAAACATATGAAATGTAGGAATTTCACTGTCAAAACGGTGTCGCGCGAATAAAAATCGCTCCTACCGATAGCGCAACCTAAGCCATCACTCCCAGCGTTTTAAGGCTCCAAGAAGTTTAAATATGTAATTTAAAGTAAGCGCCAGTTTAAAGTTTTAAAGCCTTTTATGATGGAGAATCAAATTTTACCTAAAAGCCTGGCTTAAAAACGGGGTTTGGATAAAATTAATCAGAAATTAAATTTTTTCCAACTTTAAACAAAAAAATAATAATTTATTTAACTTGAAATTTTCTAGTTTTCTAAAAAAAATTCATTTTTAAGGTTCATTTTCTTAGAAAGTTTCTTAAAAGCGGCTTTTATTTTTTATTGAATGAAAAAACGCTAACAGAAAAAGTGTTATATAAAAAATTTTCATGTAAAAACAATTTCAAATTTATTCAAAATTATTGAAACTTCCGACTAATAAATAGAAGTTCCTAAAAAGAAGCTTCCAAAAATATTGTTTAAAAAAATAAATTAAAAATATTTCTAAAAAATAATTAAAAAAATAAAGAATGTTAGAAAAAACAAATATTTAACAAAAAAAAACAATTCCAAAAAAAACTCCAAAACAAAAACACAAAAGGATTAAAAAGGATTAAAGGATTAAACACAATATGTTTATTATAGTATTTAGAAGATCCAAATAGGGCACGACCTACACCCATCTGTTTAATAGATGAAATCTTTTTTGTATGAAATTAATTGTGTTAGTAAATATTTCTCAAGTGTGTTGACTGAAAAAGTCCTGGCCAGGATATTTTTAACTAAATAAATATTTTTTTTTTGCATTTGTTGATGAACAAATTATATAACACTGGAAAGTATACAGTCTATAGAATGTGAAAACGTTGGGTTCTCTATTTTTTTTCCTGGCCTACCTATCGGGTTGGCAGGAATGTATATCTATATGTCGTATGATTGTATGTCGTAAACTTTGAAAGGTTAAATAAATGTTTAGAAAACTACGGTATCTCCAAAATATATATTTTAGCCGTTTAAATTTTACAACATATAACAATACGACAACGTTGTGAATATTAAAGGATAAGTCGATAAGTTTTTGGGAAATTTCGATGTAAAAAATGCTTCACTTGAACTTTGACCTTTGGCAACTCTTGTGTTTGTACAACTCCAAAAAAAGTATACAGCTTTATCTCAATGTCATCAATGTATTCTTTTAAATTTGAGAATTAAAGGTATTCTGCTATTATGCCAAAAATTAACAGTTCCAAAAATAAATCTTCCAAACAAAAGTTAAAAAAAATTCAACTTTCAATAAATAAAATTTTCTATAAAAATTTTTTTTAATTTGCAAAAAATACAATTTACAAAAAATTTCATTTCCAAAAAAAAAAACACCCAAACACTATCCATAAAAACGGCAAAACAATATTTTTCAAAAAATGTTTACAATTTACATATCTATCTTTATTAAAATGATACATCAGAACCATGCCAAAGAACACGCAGGAATTTCCGAGAATTGTCATGTTTAGAAAAAAATAAAATAAAAAAAACAAATTCTGACTATTGTTAACACTCCACTCTGCAGAGCCTGAATAAAACAATTTTTATGAAGTTGACGTAAAAGGGTTGCCCATTCAGAGTGGCTAATTTCTGAATTGTCATCATTCTTTGCTTTAGTTGAAAACCCAGCTTTCATTCCCTCTATTTTCCGTCTAATCCATCGAGCTTTGGATTACGCCAGTAAATCTACATGAGCATAAGCAGCTAAAAAAAAAAACACATAGCTAAAAATATCCAACGCCTCCTATAAATTAAAGGATATCGAAGAGCTCAACTTGCCTATCGGACAGGCAATTGCGTCAGAGTGATACATAAATACCCAAAAATGGATGAGACAAGCAAATGAATGACAAAAATACTAAATTAGATGTAGATAATGAATGGCAGCTGACAACCGAGGCAAAGTACGAGCAAAAAGGCAACAGAATGGCAGACAGGAGAAGCAAGCGAGTGGAGGTTGGAGCAAAATGTGATCCCAAAATACTGGGTAGGGTGGAAGTAGAAAGAACGATAGGAAGACAATAGTGGGAATTTGACGCATTCCTCACTTACCGACTTATCTTCAAAAGAAATCACAAGCAAATGCGATTCTAAGCCCGACAAATCGTTGATCCAGCAGACAATATTGGACACAATGAATGCGGCGACGACAGCTGAGTTGGGCAACAATACAAAAAGCACAAAAACACAAATTAAATTCACAGATTGTGAGAATATGCTTACACTTGAGACCGAAAATAAAGCGAGTAAACAAATTTGTGACAGCAACTGACGCAAAGCAGGTAGCTAAGGTTGGCGAAAAAGATGAAAATAGTCAGGCGTTTAGAGAATTGTAGGGAAAAAATTGCTACACGTGCGAACATGCCACGGTATGTTAGATACAGGTCTGTGTGTGTGTGTGAGTCCAACAGAGCAATCAAATGACACTTTTGTGGCAAACAGCTTTAGTGGGCAAACAGCTGCACGGCTGAGTGTGTGAATGACTTTTATGTGTGCTTGTTATTATTTTGTGCTCTTGTGTGCTTGTTTTTAATCTGTCATATCTTAGCTAGCCACCATCGCCCCTTCAGCCACCTTCTTTCACACATTCGCCATCCTTTCATCTGTTTTTCTGAAGCAATTTCTTTGCAGTTTATTTAATTTTTTTTTGCTCTCGCCTTCATTGGCTTTTATTGCTGCTCTTGTTGCTACTATTGTTATTGCTGTTATTGCTATTGTTGCTGTCAACATCATTGTTATCGCTGTCGTCTTAGCCTTTCACATAACTCTATTGTCAGCTTAGACGGATATTGAAGTGCATTTTGCTGTTGGCTTTTGCGTCTTTTTTAAGCGACAAAACTGAATCAAGTCAAGTCAAGACAGGCAGCCCAGCAATGTAGAGAGGTATTGAGTATAAAATGCAGTCGGGTGGTTAGGAAAGGTTTGCACTTAAAAATGAGTTAAGAATGAAGTAGAAATTAAATTGCAACAAATAAAAATTTAATAATGAAGGTATAAAGGTAAAATCAAAGTGGTGGAAAGTAATACTAGCAGTCTCATATTTTTAAAGTTTCTAGCTCACACGCAGAATGGGTAGGAGACGAAAGAGAGCAAGAAGGAAAGGCCTTTGGTCTCCAAACCAAACTTGGCAAGGGTTGACGGAAATTCGTTCCAAAATAAATCATATACCACCCAGTCGGAAAAATCAACCAACACCAACATAAAAAGAAAGGCAATATTTTTCAGGATAAATTGAAATACATACGTTTAGGTGAAAATACTTTTGATTTAAAATTTTCAGTTTTTTTTTATATTTTTTGTAGTTTATTCTATGTACTTTTTATTTTTTCAAATACAAAAAGAAAAACTTTTTCTGCAAAAATTCTTGGCAGTAAAATATATTTATGTATATCAAAGAAAAAACTAAAGATATTTGTATGCAAAAAATAGAATAGAAAAATACTTTTTAAATAACACTTTCGTAAAAAACGTCTAAAAACATTAAATTTGGAAAAATTAATTCTTACGTAATCGAACACATTTCCAATTTCTACGTTAATTTAGAATTAAAAAAAAAATCTTAAACAAGTAATTTTTAGCAAAAAAAAAAAAACGACTTAAAAAAAATATATATATATCTATATATTTCATGACCCAATGATCGGATCTAAACCAAATTAGTATGGGACCACCTCCGAGACACTACCTTTCCAAAGCAAAAAAACAAAAAAGAAAAAAGAATTATTGAAATCGGTTGACGTGGTGCAAAGTTATGCGGTAACATACATAAAAAAAAAAATAAAATAAAAATATTCCGACGAACTGATAACCTCCTCTTTTTTTGGAAGTCGGTTAAAAATATATAATTTCAAAATGAAGATAATATTACATATTCAGTTCAAAAGTATTTTACTTGCACTTTAGCGGCTCGTTGCCAAAATTTAGGCAAATAAGTTAATTAATTAAGAAGTGAAAGTTCTACAAGGAGGAGGGAGAGAATTCCATGGCACAAAAGGGTAGCCAAGGGATAGCAGCTAAAACAAACTTCGAACCCGATACAGTGAAACATAAAATTTGAAATGAGTTTGAAAAGGGAACTAGCAATATGAAGAGATGGACTGTAGAAAGTACCAACTACATTCTTACTTGAAAAATTTTCAGACGCCACATTTCTAGGAATTCATTTCAAAAATTTACCAAAAAATGAGATAAAGGAAAAGAATGTGGATTTGTACAAAAATAGCTATATTTAAACATTAAAATGTGTATTTGTATAATCACAATATGCAAACGGAATTTTACTTTAG